AAGAGAGGTCTACTGAACGACAACTAACATTACAAACTTTTACAAAGCCTAAATATTACTGTATTCCTTATATATTTTTTTTTAGTTTTTGAGGTAAATATTAATTCCCCGTATATTATATTATCTCTCAGTGTTTTATACGACTGTTGTTTATAACCGAGAAAGACTTACAGTGGATGTCGTTGAAGTATGGATTTAGGCATCATTAAGTGGTCTCTCCCGGGTGATAAAGCAGTGAGTGGTGCAGGTGTGGGTGGTGCAGGTGTGGGTGGGGCAGGTGTGGGTGGGGCGGGTGTGGGTGGTGCAGGTTTTGGTGGTGCAGGTGTGGTGGTGCAGGTGTGGGTGGTGCAGGTGTGGGTGGTGCAGGTGTGGGTGGTGCAGGTGTGGGTGGGGCAGGTGTGGGTGGTGCAGGTGTGGGTGGTGCAGGTGTGGGTGGGGCAGGTGTGGGTGGTGCAGGTGTGGGCGGTGCAGGTGTGGGTGGGGCAGGTGTGGGTGGTGCAGGTGTGGGTGGTGCAGGTGTGGGTGGTGCAGGTTTTGGTGGTGCAGGTGTGGGTGGTGCAGGTGTGGGTGGTGCAGGTGTGGGTGGTGCAGGTGTGGGTGGTGCAGGTGTGGGTGGTGCAGGTGTGGGTGGTGCAGGTGTGGGTGGTGCAGGTGTGGGTGGTGCAGGTGTGGGTGGTGCAGGTGTGGGCGGTGCAGGTGTGGGTGGGGCAGGTGTGGGTGGTGCAGGTGTGGGTGGTGCAGGTGTGGGTGGTGCAGGTTTTGGTGGTGCAGTGTGGGTGGTGCAGGTGTGGGTGGTGCAGGTGTGGGTGGTGCAGGTGTGGGTGGTGCAGGTGTGGGTGGTGCAGGTGTGGGTGGTGCAGGTGTGGGTGGTGCACGAGAAGTCGTGGGTTGTCAGCATCCTGGTGATGTTACTCACGTGCTGTGTTCTTTCTCACTTTATTAAGAGAGTATCTTGCCAAAATTCTGTGTTATTTGGCGATAAAACACATATTTCCCCTCCCCCCCCACTATCTCTAGAAGAGGGGCACGTGTCACTGTCACTACAAGTGGGGGACGTGTCACTGTCACCACAAGAGGGGCACGTGTCACTGTCACTACAAGTGGGGGACGTGTCACTGTCACTACAAGAGGGGGACGTGTCACTGTCACTACAAGAGGGGGACGTGTCACTGTCACCACAAGAGGGGGACGTGTCACTGTCACTACAAGAGGGCGACGTGTCACTGTCACTACAAGAGGGGGACGTGTCACTGTCACTACAAGAGGGGAACGTGTCACTGTCACTACAAGAGGGGGACGTGTCACTGTCACTACAAGAGGGGGACGTGTCACTGTCACTACAAGAGGGGGACGTGTCACTGTCACTACAAGAGGGGGACGTGTCACTGTCACTACAAGAGGGGGACGTGTCACTGTCACTACAAGAGGGGGACGTGTCACTGTCACCACAAGAGGGGGACGTGTCACTGTCACTACAAGAGGGCGACGTGTCACTGTCACTACAAGAGGGGGACGTGTCACTGTCACTACAAGAGGGGGACGTGTCACTGTCACTAACAAGAGGGGGACGTGTCACTGTCACTACAAGAGGGGGACGTGTCACTGTCACTACAAGACGGGGACGTGTCACTGTCACTACAAGAGGGGGACGTGTCACTGTCACCACAAGAGGGGGACGTGTCACTGTCACTACAAGAGGGGGACGTGTCACTGTCACTACAAGAGGGGGACGTGTCACTGTCACTGCAAGAGGGGGACGTGTCACTGTCACTACAAGAGGGCGACGTGTCACTGTCACTACAAGAGGGGGACGTGTCACTGTCACTACAAGAGGGGGACGTGTCACTGTCACTACAAGAGGGGGACGTGTCACTGCCACTACAAGAGGGACGCGTGCCGCTTCACCTTATACAGCTTTTCTAATCACACACCACACACACACACACAAAACACCCCACACACACACACACACACACACACACACACACACACAGGGCCAGGAGCTATGACTCGATCGACTCGATCCTTGCAACCACAACAAGGTGAGTACACACACACACACACATGAATACAAAGACTCTCTTGGGTGACTTCTAGCGCCTCAGTATATTAACCAACACTTGCATCATACAACAAGTCTCACCTAACACTTCACAAATAATAACCAAAATTCCCATAAAAAAAAATAGCACGAGAAAACCTGAAAAAAACCCCACGTAAAACCACAGACTCATATTAATTATCTCCTTACAGAATGTCTTAAGGATAATTATGCTAAACGTAATGAATTTATAGACACGACAATATCAGTGAAAAAATTGTATAAGCACAAGAGTAGTGTATTCAAGCGTCATAAGACGTTACAGAGTTCTGTAACGTCAGATGCTTCAAATAAAACCATTTATTTTTTGTATAGTACAATGTGTAGTTTACATGTCATAAAATACTGTCAAACGCAAAGAAAGTCGGTAGCATGCATGAACATTTCGTGGATTATCTTTTATGTTTACACTGTGTGTGTTTACAGTGTACCTATGTGATTACAGTGTACCTGTGTGTTTACAAGGATAACTGTGTTTTACAGGGTATCTATGATTTTAAAGGTTCCTATATTTTCAGCGTATCTGTATGTTTACAGTGTACCTATGTGTTTGCAGGGGACACTGTTTTTTTTACAGGGTATGTATTTTCAAGTATCTTTGTTTACAGTGTACCTATATATGTTCACGGGGTATCTCTGTGTTTACAATGTATCTGTGTGTATCTGTGTGTTTACAATGTATCTTTGTGTATATCAGGTGTGTTTACAATGTCATCTGTGTGAGTACATTGTAATATGTACAGTGCATCTCTCATTGTTGCAGTGAATATGTGGACAGTGCAAACGTGTAGTAGCACGCGTAATTATGAGATAAACATAACATTACGGGAAGTCCTCTTAAACCAGCAAGGGTCGATACAGTGCCATAAACAAATGTGGGGTAATAGGTTTGATCCAAGGAAGTTGGAGGGGGTAGCTCCCAAACACTAGAACCAGAGCCCTTTCAAAGGACAGCATCGAGAGGTCTATTTTCAAGGAAGAAGAAGGAAGGACTAGATCCTGTTAATAACCTCTGATAATCCAAGAAAAATCATTAAGAAAACAATATTTTCTTGTGGTCCTTCCGGTACCTACCCCAGGGATGCGACCCACAAGTCGGGTCTACTAACATCCAGTTACTTTTAACCTTGCTGGCAAACATGGAAAAAGGTGAGCAAGAGATACCTACAATGATGGCACCCCTTGAAATCAAACTACCACGCCTTTCAGTTATGAGGTGAACTTCTCGCACCTCGACAGGACTATAGATATAGAGGTGCCACCTGCGCACTCGGTCATTCAGAGTTATTTCTCCATGAAGCTTGTGGGGTCACCCCTAGACACTTAGCTTGGGTGGGATGCCAGCTTCCTAGATTCCTCACCTGCAACTGCTGGCTCCCTCAAGGGTTTCTTTCATGCTCCCCATCAACCCTGGAGAGAATCCCTCGCTCCCAGAGGGGACAATTTCATCCCTACCAAAATAATGTAAATTACCTTGGGTTAAAGCCCAACACATCACTTGAATACGAGTTTTATAACCTAGATAATTTACACTACGTATGATAATTGTACTTGTGTGTACCTGTATCTAAATAAACTTATTTAACACTGGAGGAAAACCTCGCTTGTAGTCTCACGTCTCTCAATTGTTAAGTCCCCCCAGTGTAGAAAACGAATTTCAGTATCATACCTAGAGGACAGACTATTTTAATCTATAATAATTGCATTTTAATATATTTATACGACGGCTATGGGTGGATCTGACTAGGGATGGATGCCAGTGTAGTAAATATTAAAATAAATATATTATCATGATAAAAGGAAATTATGCAGAGTCTGTATTGATTATATCCTTTTGTTTTTGGCACCTTCAGTTTTCTCTGTCACGTTGCTGTTTAAATTTTTCTATGTAAACACACATAGAAACATAAACTATTATAAGTATGAAGATAAGAACCGTTTCTATTTTTTTATTATATCATTACAGTTAAACTACATAATGGTATTCGTGAGAGAGACATGCTGCTACTAACAGCCGGAGAAATACTTGCGCAATATTAACAACAACGTTTTCCTGGGTAAGTGTGGCCTGCCCATACGTGCGAAACGCCAGGTATTCCTCCAGCCACCCGTGAAAAATACTTTTCAATCCTCTAACTGCATGACATAGTTATATATTTTTTATGGACTGTGTAAAAAATTGTGCATTTTATTTAGCCAGTGCATTAATTTGTTATTAACTGTGATCAATACAATGGTTTTGAGTTAAGGGAATACGCAGAGAGAACCCTTTTAATAAATAACAAAAAGGCACAATACCGTGACTGGAACGATACACAAATAATAATAATAAAATTATATCTTTATTTACTACAGTCTAAGGACATGTACATGGAAATAACAGTCCAGCGGACAACAATGACATACTATACTGCATAGAAATCCCCTTGTTTAGCTCAGCATTTTCCAGAGCAAATTATAGGTCAGTGTCCAGGATGCGACCCCAACAAATAACCCGCACATGAAAAACAGAAGCTTAACGACGACTTTTCGGTCCACTTTGGACCATTGACAAAGTGAACTTGTCAATGGTCCAAGTCGGACCGAAACGTCGTACGTAAGCTTCTGATCTTTTAAGTGCAGTGTTATTTTGTGTATAGACCCCTTTTGTTTTTAACATTTTAGACTTCGCAAGTTCCACTTATATCCCCAGTATCTATGCTTGTGACTGTTACTAAAGTCTTTGTAAATAGAATGTAGGAGGTTTAAGCCAAGTCAGTGACCCTTTCTCTCCCTGCGTACGTCCCTGATATATACAAATATACATATTTTGAGTACCAACAGAAACATGCATGCGGACTTGGATGAATAGAATGGCAAAGTTTAGCCTCTACACCGACGCTTCCACCAATATACTATTTTTATCCACCTCCCCACATTTAGATTATTGTGGGTGAAAATATGGTGTGGATGAGAATCTACGGAGCGTGGAGGGATGCCTGTGTTGTCTTTTGGACAAGGGAACCCAGGCAGGGTGGAAGATGTCGGTGAGAAGGTAAGTCACATGTTTACAACCGTATCTGGCAATTTACGTGTGACTTCACCATAGTTTTCTATTTTTTTTTTTTTTTTTTTTTTGGCATTATTTATTATTAAAGATTAAGCCGGTATTCTCTCTCCCGGCCCGTGGCCTTTTCCATATTGGGTGGCCCGGCTTTGGCTCCTCTTAGGGAGTGTCTAGAGACCTAAGTCTCCCATGGGAGGAGGCACAAGTACCTCTCCTCATCCCCCTTTGGACCAACTGTCCCCCAGGGGCCTATCCACAAGCAAGGCCACTCTGGACGCTGCCATCCCCGCCTCAAGGGTGCTAATGGGAATGAAAACAGACTAATGAGCGTTAAAGGCTCGGGCCTCAGCACGCTACCCTAACCCTAGAATGTTTTAGGCTGGTGTCGAGTTTTTTTTTTTTTTTGCATTTTTTGAAATGGTATGCCTGAAATTTTCCCATTCTCTAAGAAGCAGTTCACTAAAGTTATGTAAATTTTTAATGAATTCTTATCTATTTCACAAAAAATCTAATACAGAAAAATCTGTTATTATTCTGTCAAAATTTACATAAAATAAAATACTCCAATTTACCCAAGCTATTTAAGAATTTGCATACGTTTGTTTTTTAAACCAAAACGTTTGTCCATGGAGAGGCAAACTCGGGTGACCTTTGTCGTGCTTTTACTGCACATAAATGTTAAGTTTAAACGCTGGTAGAGTCTCATACTTCGGCAGAAGATTCATGTATTTACGTCTTAATTTTCATGTCTAATATTTTTGATGTCAACTAAATTTAATGCATACTTCTTTGTTGTTTGTATGTATATTCTTAAGGATAAACTTACATACTTGAGCCTCGTTCATATAATGATCTGCCTCTGGCAGTTATATATAATGTCGTGCCGAATAGGTAAAACTGGTCAATTAGGAAGAACTCATTTAAAATTAAGTTCTTTCTAATATATTCTCTTATACATTTAAAGATATTTTTTTCACTTATGTTAATGTAAAAAATAATAACTTTGTGCCAAAAGAACCTTAGAAAACTTACCTAACCTTTTTATAACAAAGTCAGTTTAATTTAGCCTAATCCAACTAAATATATTTTAGATAAGCTTACAATAATTGAATAATAAATAAACACAATGAAATATATTTTTCGTTACGTTCACAATGATTTTTGCGAAATTATTGCATAAACAAATTTTTGCTTGCCTTATTCGGCAAGAAGAGCATTGGCTATTAAAGCCAAAATAGCAAGTTTTACCTATTCGGCACGACATTATATATATATATATAATTTATATATATATATATATATATATATAATATATATATATATATATATATATATATATTATAAAGATTACATTTTAAAAAATGTTCACTGAAACATAAATAATTATAATATGCCAGTAATCATGTTCTAGGATAAACGCTTTACTTTCTAGGATAAACAATGACTGGGGTCCTAGTATAAACAGTAACTAGATTCCTTCGATAAGCAGCGACTGGTATATCCTGATATAATCACTAATTCCTAGGATAAACAGGGTAATCAGTAATTTGTTCCAATAATTAAGTGACTGGTAACCTAAGGTAAACTGTCACTGGAATACCAGCAGTGACTGGTATTCCAGGGCAGTGACTGATAATCTAGGTGAAGAAATTAGCGAAATGTTAGATATAACACTGAAATGTGTTTCGAACTCAGGAAGTGACCTATCTCAGGGAGAGCAGTGACTGGTATTATGGGACCGACAGTGACTAATGTTCCATTAACAACGATCATCAGTTACCTGGGAGAAACAGTGACTGATTTAAGGAAATAAGCAGTGACTGGTGTCATGTGAGACTAACTGATGTAGGCAGATAAGGAGTGACTGGTGTCTTGTGAAATAAGTGGTATAGGAAGATTAAGATGTGACTGGTGTCTTGTAAGACTTTACTGATATAGGCAGATAAGCAGTGACTGGTGTCTTGTGAGACTAACTGGTATAGGAAGATAGAGATGTGACTAGTGACTTGTGAGACTAACTGATATAGGCGGACTGGTGTCCGGGTAATTACTGTAGTAACAAGAGTCATAAGAGAAATAATGACTGGTATCCTGTGAGTACCCGTCACTCAGTCATCAACACATACACACACGAGGGATTGGCGACTAACGTGACTAAATTTACTACAGGTGGAGAGTGGAGCTCACGTCACTTACTGTGTCAGTGGTGCCGGGAGGGCGGGGCCTCCGTTAGGGCCGCTGCCAGCTGCTTACAACATAACCTCTCCACCTTCCTCCCTCAACCTCGCCTGCTGCGATGGCTTCCCCGACTGCTGTGCCTTCCCCGACACAGCAATCTATGCAGTCCTCGGCTTCTCGAGATGCTGGTGGAAGTATACAGTGAGGTTAGCGTCGCCGGGGGACAACGCCACTGACGCAATGGAGGAGGGAGTGGCTACTGAATCGCGGGGCGGGACTGGGCCTGAGGTTACAGGGGTCGGCTGGTCCCTGCCATGCAGTCTGTCTTCTCTCCTTGCCATGAACTGTCGGGCGCGGGCAGAAGGCCTGGCCCGCCGTCTCCAATCGCGAGTTCGAATCGGCTCCGGGGGTACGTCGGCCTTCGAACAGACGTCGCTAGTGACCCCGGGTCCCGAGGACCACTATGCCTCCATGGAGTGCCGACATTCGTCCTTCGACGACACGCCCATGGATTACATGGACGAATCCAAACTACGGCCCATACATGTGGTGACGTCAGAACCCACGCTTCACTTGTGTCTCCCATCACCACCCTCGCTTGGCAACGACTCTGAGCAGGACTCCGATGTTTACTATGACTTCGACCTGGCAAGCCCTGATGAGGTGCCAGAAGGGGAGGAAGACGAGGTGGAGGAGGATGAGCAGCAGCAGGAGGGAGAAGAACACCAGAGCAGAAGGTTCGAGGCCGGGGAGAGACCGGAGAGTGGATGTGTTACCTCAGTCACCTCGCCTGTTATGTTCGACGACAAAAAAGATAACGAGAGTGAGGAGTATCATCCTTGGGAAAAGGGAGATCTTTTCCCTCCCGAGGAATCATTACTTTCCTCTCCTGACAGAGACCTTCGTGCGGTAAGACGAATATTATCCAACTCTTCCTTGACTGACGCTGTGAGTTCGGCCTCAGAATCAGGTACTTGTGAACAAACTAAAACGTGTGTAGAAAGTGAAGAAAACAAATGTGAAGGATGTAAGACAAGTGTGTGTAACTGTCGTTGTGAGTGTATGTGTTTCAAGAGACACCTGGAAACCCACGAGAGCTCGACAGAGAGCGCGAGCATTGGTACTTTCATCCTTTACACAGAGGGAGACAGAGGGCGCTAGCGAAGCTGTTGATAGCAGCACCGAGAGGTCAGGGTTGGCGAGTTCGTCAGTCGCCAAGACAAGGGCGCAACTGTGCAACGGTGCCCAGGGCACCCTGCCGTCAGTGCCCCACACACCTGACTCTCAAACAAGCACCCCTACGCTCACAGAATGTGCAGGGGATAATGCGTATACAAATAGTGATGGGAAAAGCAGTGAAGCAAGTAGAGTGAATAACTGGGTGACGTTTGATAATGAAGGTCAAGACAAAGACATCGAAGGTGACAAGTACACACAGGAGTGTCGAGGAGTGGAGGGGCAGGAGACGGGGTTTGTGGCCAGAGTGACGCTCAAATACTCAACCTTCGGGGACGGGTTTGCAGAGGTAAAAGACTATGACGAAGCTGAGGCGGAACCTGGGAGGGACAATGAAATTATCCTGAAAACCTCCCCAGAAACCGCCGCTGGTCCCCGGGCTATTTCTGGCTGCACGCCCCCACTCTCAGAGCCTCACCTCTACACGCCCTCTGAGGGGCACCACGCCACCATGGAGGCGCGGGAGGAGGAGGAGGCTGACCTTCGATTGAGTGGTGAGGTGTTCTGCATGGACTCGGACACTGAGGAGATTGAAACATTAGGTGAAGATGAGGAAGGAAGCGAGGAAGAGGAAGAAAACGAAGAGGATATTGAAGAAGAGACGATATTAACGGGGAAATTTCGGAACATCCGGGGCTACACAGAGAGAGTTCGCCGTCTTTCTGACGAGAAAGATGACCTTCCTCCAGCCGTGACTGTCATTTGTTATGACGAAGAGGACATGTCTCAACCTCAGGAAGTTGGTAAAGACGAGGAAGAGGAAAACATCGTCGAGGAACAGGTGTGTAGCGTCGAGCTGGCGTCCCAGCTATCAGAACTGCAGGTGGAAGATGTGGGAATTCAAGTCAGCGCAGACGAATCCTGTGACGAGAGTGAGAATCGCTCTTCAGAGGAAACCGATCCTGAGAGAGTCGAAGATTTCAAGATGCGCATTAAACGCTCATCATCACTCAAGTGCGGCAAGACACCACCAGGCACTCCAGGACGCAAGAAAATCGTGCGATTTGCTGACATGTTGGGCCTCGATCTGACCGCCGTGCGAACGTTCCTCGGTGGTGGCGTACCACACGTTCCTCGCTCTGCCTTCTGGGACTTACAAGTGGAAAATGAAGCTGCTGCAACGGCAACTCCTTTTTCTTCGCTATCTATGGAGCCCATTATTCCAAGACGGGTGCTAACGCCGCTCTTCCAGCAGCCAGGATCACAAATAAACTTCCTGGAACGAGTGCGGAACCAGCGAGTGGTTGTCGAGAACGTTGAAGTCGGGGAGGACATGAGTGTCCGTGGACTGGTACGCGTCCTTAACCTTGACTTCCACAAAAGTGTGTGCGTAAGGTACACCTTCGACCAGTGGCGCAACTTCCATGAGGTGAGTTACGCAATTTCATTTCTGTTTACTAGAGAAGCAAGTCCAGAGACTTTTTCTGTTACATTTCTTCATGATAACATTACGTTATCAGCGGTTAAGAGATGAATGACCGAACCTTCACAACGCTTATCGTTGAATAACTCACATAAGCTTGGCACTTCCAGTTTCCATTTCAAATTTCTGTCTGAATTTTCAACTTTACATTTAGTTTAAAGTTTAGGTTCGGTAAACTTTCAGAGAAAAAAGGACGAATACTCCTGACGCGGATTATAGTCACAAGAAGACCCGCCACTGGGGCTTTTGGCCACCTGACCGGAGCCTTCCACTGGCTATCTACGTTATTAAGCTTAATTATTTTCATAGCTTGAATGAAGATGCAGCGGAACATCCACTGTTCTGCCGCAGCATTTAGTTGCTTATCATTGTGCTGCATTACAGAAATACTGCATTATGTGGACCTAGAAAACATTTCCATTAATCACGCATGTAAACATTCCCTATCTCCGGTCATTTATCATTAGTCACTTACAGAAAAATACATTTTCGAAATCATTGCAAATAATATCTATGTGTATTACTGCATGCAATCTCCAGTCATTTGTTTGCAAGCAACTGAACAAATGTAATCCACGGAGGGTAAATATTGATGTTTTGGATGGTTTAATGGTACCCGATAAGCTTAAAAGTTGATGAATCAGGCACGCGAGTCGAAAAACCCACTGGTTGGCGAATCTTCTCAAAAAGGATACCCAGGTGGCGCACATGGGGATGGTTGACGTATAATTGTCAGCCGAAACGTATGGGGAATAGACTTTTCATTCTTAAGAGGTTTCATCCACAAGAGGCTTCCTCCAGTGGTTGAGGCTCCATAACAATGAAGGGTCAGTTTTTGCACAACTTGGAGTTTTGTGCAAGAGTGGGATGACAGGCACTGCCGACATGGCTGGTGATAAGAAACACTGTCAAGAGAAGACCTGCATTATACATGACAAAGCTCTACTCAGAGAGACACGTCATTAATAGAGGGTTTTCTCTGCATCAACAACTTTCTAACGAGAGTGAATGAAATCCCTAATTGGACGTGGAACAAATGTAGCTTACACATTCATGTCAGCTTTACAAAACCCATAGATTTCATTCCACATAGACATACAACCAGTACCAAAACTCTATTTTTTCATTTGACTCTACGTAAAGCACTAATATCATGCAGGTTAATCAGTACAGGGTGAAGGCTCAACTCTGTGTCCTCTAACCCAGTAGACATTCAACTGGAAGGTCTGCTTAGTCCTTCGATTGTACTGGGTTTCATTGTTACCCGGAACGCTTCAGGGATGCTACTGATTTTGCCGTTTGTTTATATGCTGCTGACCCTTGGGGAGTCATCGCTCCCGCGACTCGGTCCGGCATCAATCTTACTGGTTGATCTGTAGATCTGTAAGGCTGTTGGTGCTAGTAGAACGCAGTTCAGAGTACCCTTAACAACCACGTTTATTAAAAATTGACTCCACGAACTTATAAATCTTCCCTCTTCAAGAAAGCTAAAGGTCTTTTAGTAATTCCCTTAAATGTGAAGCTAGGGGTGTTGAAGAGTCTTGGGATCTTTACACTTAATTATCTCTTAGTGAAGTTTTTGTAACCAAGTTTTTAACAGAGGTACTTTGCATACAGTCTGCAGAGTCGTACCAGTGTGTAGATTTAGACCTATTAACTCCATCATTTTCCAGATTATGATGCATCTTTCTCTCCTGCCTTCCAGGGAGTAGCCTGAGACTCACAGCTAACTGAGAGATCAAAACAAACATATTAAATTTCTGCTGTAAAGAATTATTCCCAAAGCTTCTTACACAACTCTTCCTGCTTTTGTTATTGCTACTGCTACACCTGCACCTACCTCTGCTGCTGCTGCTGCTACTACTACTACTACTACTACTATTTTTACAACTCCCATATATACAACAACCTTTACTACAACGGCTAAATATACTACCATGACTCAGTACTTACTACAATATCTGCTACCAATATTACCGTTCCGGCATGTACCGTGGGTACCCATAAGAAACAGTTAATTAACCTCAGGTCGGGTTTAGTCTCATTAAGACAATCTAAGCAGGTATTTACAGCCTCATGAACCAGAATGTCTTACGATATTAAGGTTCATGAAATATACGAATATAAAAATACTCCTGTTCTTTCTCACAAATACACTTGGCGGGGCCAGGAGCTGTGACTCGATCCCCGCAACCACAACTAGGTGAGTACACACACACACACACACACACACACACACACACAGAGTGTAGCAACACTGAGGACAGTTACATAACATACATTCGTCACAGTAAGTAACGTGTCAACATTATAACCATTCTTCACTTGCCTCACCACCACCAGCAACAGCAGCACCACCAGCAACAGCAGCACCACCAGCAACAGCAGCACCACCAGCAACAGCAGCACCACCAGCAACAGCAGCACCACCAGCAACAGCACCACCACCAGCAACAGCAGCACCACCAGCAACAGCACCACCACCAGCAACAGCAGAACCACCAGCAACAGCACCACCACCAGCAACAGCAGCACCACCAGCAACAGCACCACACCAGCAACAGCACCACCACCAGCAACAGCACCACACCAGCAACAGCAGCACCACCAGCAACAGCAGCACCACCAGCAACAGCAGCACCACCAGCAACAGCAGCACCACCAGCAACAGCAGCACCACCAGCACCACCAGCAACAGCAGCACCACCAGCAACAGCAGCACCACCATCACCACCAGCAACAGCACCGCCACCAGCAACAGCACCACCACCAGCAACAGCACCACCACCAGCAACAGCACCGCCACCAGCAACAGCACCACCACCAGCAACAGCACCGCCACCAGCAACAGCACCGCCACCAGCAACAGCACCACCACCAGCAACAGCAGCACCACCAGCAACAGCACCACCACCAGCAACAGCACCACACCAGCAACAGCAGCACCACAAGCAACAGCACCACCAGCAACAGCCCCACCAGCAACAGCACCACCACCAGCAACAGCACCGCCACCAGCAACAGCACCGCACCAGCAACAGCACCACCACCAGCAACAGCACCACCACCAGCAACAGCACCACCACCAGCAACAGCACCACCACCAGCAACAGCACCGCCACCAGCAACAGCACCACCACCAGCAACAGCACCACCACCAGCAACAGCACCGCCACCAGCAACAGCACCGCCACCAGCAACAGCACCACCACCAGCAACAGCACCACCACCAGCAACAGCACCACCACCAGCAACAGCACGCCACAGCAACAGCACCGCCACCAGCAACAGCACCGACCACCAGCAACAGCACCACACCAGCAACAGCACACACAGAACAGCACAACAGCAACAGCACCCACCAACAGCACCGCCACCAGCAACAGCACCACCACCAGCAACAGCACCACCACCAGCACCACCACCAGCAACAGCAGCAGCAGCAGGAGGAGAAACAGCATCAGTTTATTAAAAAAACAAACAAGGAATTTAAGAAGAAACGATAAAGAATGGTTTGATGTCCGGTGCTTGAGATCTCTGGAAAAGAAACAGTGTGTTTGTAATCAATGTGAGAAGCAGGGTATTCAAGAACACCATCCACAGCAGGTGAAGCAGCAGCAGGAGCAGTAGCAACAGCAGGAGCAGCAGCAGGAGCAGCAGCAACAGCAGCAGCAGCAACAGGAGTAGCAGCAACAGGAGTAGCAGGAGCAGCAGCAGCAACAACAGCAGCAGCAGCAACAGCAGTAGCAGCAACAGCAGTAGCAGCAACAGGAGTAGCAGCAGCAGCAGCAACAGGAGTAGCAGGAACAACAGCAGCAGCAGCAGTAGCAGCAGCAGGAGTAGCAGGAGCAGCAGCAGCAACAACAGCAGCAGCAGCAACAGCAGCAACAGTAGTATTCGTGACCTTCAGCACGTACACATCACACATACACGAGGCACTGTTTACATCCTCATACTCCCTTACTCCCTCTCTCCCTCTCTCTGTCTCTCCCTTTTTTTCATTTACGTTTATTTCTCAACTTGTGTTGTGTTGAAAGCAACGCTGCAAAACCTGCTTTCTTCGGGTTACAACATTTCACTCTGTGTGATTAGTAACTATCATAAGTCATAATTTACGTATTAGCGGTAATTAATTACCAAGATAGCTTCAGCAATTGTAAATAACTGTAAAGTAGCTGTCTGTAAAGGACAGACAGCCATGTCACAGGCTGACAGACTGTGTAGGATCCCACTTCTTTCAGCTTAACTCTCCATGTAATCAGACAGCCACTGGCTATCATCTTGAAATATGTGCCGTATTTTTTTTTATATCTTTCCCAGAATATGGCTGCCAAAATTGTAATGCGCCTTATATGCTCGTGCGTCTTATATGCCGAAAAATACTGTCTACCTGTATTGAACACCTTCAAGAGTATGTCTAATGAACAGAATAAGAACAAAATCGAATTTTACTGCTTTTTTTATAATCATGGGGAGAGCTAAACCCGTAGGGTTATACAGCGCGTGGGGGGGGAGGTATTCAGGCTCAATTCAGGGAACCGGAGCACGGATCCAATTCCCTAGATCAAGAGCCCCTCACCACCGTTAAGGAGCCTCCCTTGAGGGGTAATCCCTTGTAGTTTACGCTGTGTAAGAAGCGGTTCAGGCTCGATTCTGCTTCCGCTAAATGCGGTACGGCCTCTCTAACTGGAAAAAAAACTGACTTCGGTAAGTGGGAGTTGAAATCATGAGAAGCGTAAACGCCTTTCCCGTGTTCCTAAACGGTAGGTTACTGGCGCGTACGCCAGTAACCTACCGTTTACGTGATTATCTTCATTCACTGACGCAACTGATGCTGTCGTTAGTAAATCATGAATCGTAGGCTAACACACACACACACACACACACACACACACATATACACGTTACCTGTGAACGGATGTTCGTGTAATAATTCAGAGACCATACAGCAACATAACTGTTCCAGGGACTCCCTGCGCCATTATGTTGCAGCGTAACATCAGCAGCAACAATAGCAGTAACAGCAACAGCAGCATCAACAGCTGCAGCACCAGGGAAGGCTTTATAAAAATCAATGAAGATTACGCATGGCGGAGCTCGGCTTGTATCCAGCAGCGACTCTCCTTCCAGAGGCACCTTCAAGAGTGCTTTGCTGACGCCTTCAGGGGTGCCTTGCTGGCACCTTCAAGGGTGCCTTGCTGACGCCTTCAAGGGTGCCTTACTGACACCTTCAACGGTGCCTTGCTGACGCCTTCAAGGATGCCTTACTGACACCTTCAAGGGTGCCTTGCTGACGCCTTCAAGAGTGCCTTGCTGACGCCTTCAAGGGTGCCTTGCTGACGCCTTCAAGGATGCCTTACTGGCACCTTCAAGGGTGCCTTAACATCACTGAGGAGAGACAACACTGACGAATCCACTATCAAGACAACACTGACACTCACCTGTGTTTTCTCAGTTCCTCCAAGCCACACCCCCCAGCACAGGTATGGGGGCGTCTCCCCCTCCCCGTCTTTCTCTCGTTCTCTTCGTATCTCATTTCTTTTTCCTCCTCTTCCTCCCACCAGAAACATTAAAAGGTGACCTTGACCCCACGCGTCAGTTCTTCCTGCCTGAGCATCCACAAGAGAACGTGCCTTTATCGACGTATTAAAGAGCTCTGAGAGAGCAACTTGGGGAGAATACCACAACGTTGGTTTTCCGACGTATTAAAGAGAAAAAAAAATGCCAGACAAACGGCGTATCCTTGCAGAATGTGCGCTTCTGTAGGGCACAAGAACGTTCAGAAAGCAACGTTCTTCACCATTACATTTACAGAACGTAATTCATTGTTAGATTTTTTCTGTTCCACATTTTTATATGCCTTTGAGCACTAGTTATTAATGTTGGAGTAATAAATGAGAATAACATGTGTAGGAAGAGGCTGTTAGTGCCGTTAATGTGTCTCTGAAGGGAGCAGATGCCATAACATTATGTACACACACACACACACACACACACATTCACACACACACACATTCACACACACACACACACACACACAACCACACACACACACACCACACACACACACACACACACACACACACACACACACACACATACAAACCACACCACACCACACGCCACACACACACCACACACACACACACTACACACACACACCACACACACACACTAACACACACACACACACACACACACCACACACACACACACACCACACACACACACCACACACACACACCACACAGACACACACCACACACACACATACACACACACCACACACACACACACACTCACACCACACACACACACCACACACTCATCTCAGTAGTAGTACCAGTTCCTAGTAACCAGTTACCAGTAACCAGTGTATCAGTAGATGACTCACTACCAACCGTCTGGGTGAATCATTGACTGTTATTCATATTGCTGCTGACCATAGCAGGATTTCAAACACCCCTCACCCGTAGGCACTTGTGGGTCAGTCGAAGATAGGGAGCAGAGAAAGGCAGGTCGGCTGTTGGCGCTTCCCATATTTCCCGTTATATATGTACAAACCAGTCTACGTGAGTATTTTTACCCCATCCACATTATCGAAGCCCACATGACAAATTGGTGGCAGCGGTGGGATTGAATTCATGGATAGTCAAGGTCCATCTGGCTAACCTTCCAGTAGGTTGTTTGTTCTGGAATAAAGATATCAGTGGAGCATGGTCTGTCAAGACATGAACAGAGTACTGATAAATAATGTCTCGGAAGTGCTTTAAAGACCATACTATTGCTAAAGCTTCTTGCTCAGTTACTGTATAATTACATTCAGCCTTCGTAAGGACTCGGCTAGCAAATGCAACTGCGTTGTACTTGCCATCAGTCTTCTGAGCTAGTACGGCACCTATGCCAATAGAACTAGCATCAGTTGTCAGATAGAAGGGCTTAGAAAAATCTGGAAATTTCAAAATTGGAGCAGATGTTAGCTTTTCTTTTAGAGTTTGGAATGCTCTTTCTTGACGGAACGTCAAAACAAAAGGAGCATCTTTCTTAAGCAACTCAGAGGAGCAGCTATGGAAGAAAAATTGGCAATGAAAGATCTATAAAAACCTGCTAAGCCCACAAAGGATCTTATGGCATCAGCAGTTTTGGGAGTTGGAAAATTTAGTACTGCAGTTACTTTACTTTTTTCAGTCGTAACCCCTCTAGGAGTGACTATGTGACCAAGAAACTTAATTTCTGATCTGAAAAATTGACATTAAGACAGTTTGATCTTTAAATTGGCTTCTTCAAGCTTACCAAGTACTACATCAAGTCTTTTCAAGTGTGTATCCACGTCTTTAGACATGACGATTACGTCATCTAAGTACACCATAAGTGCATTACCTATGAGACCTCTAAAGATATTAGTCATGAGCCTTGAGAACGTGATAGGGGAGGATCGTAATCCAAACGCCATACGGAGGAAGTGATAATGACCTGTAGGAGTGGAGAATGCAGTTAGCTCTTGGCTGTCCTCGTGAAGAGGGACTTGCCAAAACCCTTCTAACAAGTCCAGGGTTGAAAAGACTGTTATCTCCGATGTTACGTAAAAGATCACCCAGTACAGGGAGTGGGAAGCGATCTGGAATAGTTTTCGCATTTAACTTCCTAAAGTCAATCACTGAGCGCCAAGTACCATCCTTCTTCGAGCTCTCAGTAGTAGTGCCAGTTCCTAGTAACCAGTGTACCAGTAGATGACTCACTACCAACCGTCTGCGTGAATCATTGACTGTTATTCATATTGCTGCTGACCATAGCAGGATTTCAAACACCCCTCACCCTGTAGGCACTTGTGGGTCAGTCGAAGATAAGGAGCAGAGAGAGGCAGGTCGGCTGTTGGCGCATCCCATACTTCCCGTTATATATTATACATACAAACCAGCCTACGTGAGTATTTTTACCCCATCCACGTTATCGAAACCCACATGACACTCACACACACCACACACACACACTCACACACACCACACACACACACACACACACCACACACACACATACACACACACACACACCACACACGCACACACTCACACACACACACCACACACACACACACACACACCACACACGCACACATACACACACTCACACACACCACACACACACACACACACACACACACACACACACACACACACACACACACACACACACACACACACACACCACACAAACACACATACAAACATACACACCACACACACATACACACACACACAAACACACATACAAACATACACACACACACATACAAGCATACACACAACCACACACCCCACACACACACACACACACACACAACACACATACACACACACATACACACACACACACACACCACACACAAACATACACATACAAACATACGCACACACACACACACACACACACACACGCACCACACACACACGCCACACACATTCACACACACCACACATTCACACACACCACACACATTCACACACACACACACACACACACACACACACACAGATACTCTATTCTGTGTGGCTGTCATTTTATTTAGCTTGAGTTATATCTATGTTTAAAATATGCATCACTCAGGAATATTTGTTTTCTTGTCATACGCCACACACAACATGTTCCTGTCATGTCATACGCCACACACAACATGTTCCTGTCATGTCATACGCCACACACATGTTCCTGTCATATTCTAACACCTAGGATGTAGTTTCCGTCATTTTCCATCCTTCAGGATGATCTTACTGTCAGGTTCCATCACGCAGAATGATCTACCTGTCAAACTCCGTCACACGTGATGTGTGTGACGAGGTTAATGCTGTCAAACTGGAGCTGTGAGACTTGATCTTACTGGCCAGCACGCGGCTGTGGGGTTGTTACTAAGGGTGCCACAATGTTGGTGGCAGCCAGGGAAGGGTGCCAACCCAGCCTACAGCAGCTATCTCTGGCACTATTTCGCCTACGTGATGTACACTCTCACCACCGACAATGCCAGGTTTTCCCTGGCCTGCTGTGTGTATTTCTGAAAGGGGAAACGCCGATTGGAGAGATAAAAATAAGCCAAAAGTTAAAAAAACGGGATGTTTTTATTTCGTCTCAGGTCATAAACCCTCTTCAGCCGAGGAGGATCACGGACAGGCAGGAATGTACGTATTATTGATACTCCTTTTCCCTGCTAAATACTTTCTTATATTTTATCGAGGTTTAAAGCTCATTATGACACTTTATTACACTTCAAGACAATTTTTGACAGTGACATTTAATGACAATTTATGACAATTTATGACAGACTTAATGTTGTTGTTACCAGGCATGGTTGTGGTGTTTGGATAGTGGTTGTGGTGATAGTTGTGGTAATGGTAATGGTTGTGGGCCGCTGTGTGACCTCTGAATCAACTACTAACTTGAAATCAACCACTAACTTCAATCTACCATTAACTTAAATCTATCACTAACTTGAAATCAACCACTGGCTTGAATCTACCACTAATCTGAATCTACCACAGTGGCTGGCGAGACATCTGAGTTGTGGGAACACATTTCGACCGGTCCAGTCCCATCATTCCCTTGATCACAATCGAAATGTGTGAAGGGTGTGCGTGCACACTCTCCTACTGATCTTCCCAGACTCATCAACGAGTGCAGTCACACACACGGGGCGAGTGCCATGCTGTGTAAAATTATGGGGCAAGAACCACTCCAGGATGTAGGACACGGGGGTAGAGGGACATGTGGGACACGGAGGGAGAGGGACATGTAGGACACGGGTGTAGAGCGACAGGAAGGGTCACCATACATGGTTAATGAGGTTTGAAACCTATCGACTACACAAGTGTTTTTAAGGCTATGTTGATAGTGTTATATAGAATCTCAGTGGCTAGAGGACACCAAGACTTTTCTAGCCGTGACATAATAAGCTTAATGATCTGACTAGCCAAGGCAATTTCGTAAGTATCCACTTTTTACAGACAAGTAGAGCTAATAAGTAATTACAAATACAACTGCAATTAGGCAATTATAAATAGTTAATTCCACCCACACCAGCGGGAAAATGCTCTTAATGTTACAGTGAATGTTGTAAATAACGTTGCTGTGACAAACCTTCGTCGTGTCTCGAGAGTTTTCCTCCTCCCGGAGCCATTCCTGTGGTCAGGCATCCCTGATGACCATGACTGGTCATTCAGGCTATTGGTGATCGCTGCCAGCACCAGGAACCTCCCGCAGAAGATTGCCTGGCTCCTACAGGAGGCAGTACCTCTGTTCCTCTTTTCTTACATCTTAAACCGTCTTGTCTAAATATTCCTACTTCATCTACATTCTTCCGTATCTCTGGTGTGTAGATAAGAGACCGGGCATTCTAACGTTTTCTGCGCATAGATTACGAGATATCTCTCTCTTGTCTCAGATGCAGAGAGTGAGTGTCTCGAGTGCCTGGGGGCGTTCCAAGACGTTGAGCGGCTTTACTGATTCGATATGAACGACGATAAGGCGATCACCACAGCCTGGCTGATCAAACCGCGGTTATCA